TCACCAGGTCAAAAAATAATGAAATAATGAAAAAATAAGAAAACCTCATGGTGGCTTTCTACTGCCACTTATTTCCTTCGGAGATTCACTTCAGCAGTATAAACCCTGCTTCATCATTTCCTCCAGTAATAATTTAGCCGTTGACTTCTAAAAAATTTCCTGTTTGCGAACCTCTCATTAATAAACCATTTAAAATTCGAAAATATCAAATCATTAAAATACAAATCTCAGTTGGATACAACTAAAATTTAAGATAAAATTCTCAAGTATAGCGATTGTTGATAGCGCTGATTTGTATGCTATAAGACCTTCGGTAATATTTGGTTGAATGCTAATAATCTTATTAGAAGATTACTAACACTATGTCGAAACCATTACGGAAAAAGTAATTATAAGAAGAAAATTCTTGACATCATTCTCTAATATCGAATGTAAAAATCTTTTTAGCAATATTTATCCTTCCAATAAGGCGAATACTTAGAGTATTAAAAAGACAAAAAAAAAGACATTTGATGATATAACTATTAAACCCCCGTAGTGCGTTATTTAATTATTTTGTTTCAACGTCTAGCCACAGCATAATACTAGAAGGAATAGGTTCCACAACCAGCAAAAAATCAATCTTGTTATGAAAAGTAAGAATTCAAAAGTTGCTTACAAAGAGTTGCATAATGTAAAAAGCGATTGTCGCATTAGATTAAACACCAACACAAATATCAGGTAATATGGATCTCATATACTCATTTTATAGTAATCATTTGTAGCTTAAATACTTATTGATTCAAATGGTTATCAATAATTTTATCACTCTCACTGTGCTATGCTACATTCCTTCACTATATGTAAATATAGTGATATTTTCAATCTATGGCTATTCTAAAAGCATTAGTAATAAAGACATGGAAAAACTTTTCTCCGTTTACCTATGTTTCATTCTCTCATTACTTCGTACTATGTTTGACTCTCTAAAGTGTGTTTTAAGCTTATTTATTATCAAAACGGATGCTAATTATGATATTTTCGTAGGCGTAATACGATGAATTAAAGGTATACAGTCTTTAATAGTGCCATTGTTAAGATGGAAAACATTGTTCAATTTCAATTTTTATTCGCAACTTTATGATTAGGTCAAGTCGCAGGGAAATTTCTACACAGCATTTCCTAAATGCTGATAAAAACCAATATTCGTCTTGGGCGCAAATGTACAATTCAGTAATAATCATAAAATATTACTACAGAGCATCAGCTTGTACATCTCATATTATAATATATATATTATATACATATATATATATATATTCATTATAATAGCAACTTGACCCATATAGCTTCGCGATATGGTCTTAAAAAATATAACAGAGAAAAATTGCAGTTGCTGGTTTTTAATCTCTTCTCTTGTACAGCCAGAGAAAACCCAATAGAACACTATTCATTGAATCATCATGGCAATATTATGGTCAATTTTATAGTTTCACTAAAGAAATTCAACAGAGTAATGAAGTTTATATTAAAGAAAGGATTGGACAGCAAATGAACTATGAGATGCGTACTATTAGATACCATGAATACAAGAAACTAGATAAATGATGGGAAAGAGTGAGATATTATCTGAGTATCCCGGTATCTCCCTCAAATACTCATTGTCTCTCGTTGCCAGTCAACCATTCTCACCAATCATTGCCCAAATGAATTACTGACAAACGTGTGTTACATAAAAGCAATTAACCCGGGACTTCCTGTGTTTCATATCGATGCCATCTGAGCCGCGATATTTTCAACAACCCATTAGGATTGTTTTCGAGTTCTAGTAATTATGGAGTTTTCAACAAGTTTTCGAGTTCTAGTAATTATGGAAAGTTCTAGTATTTATGGGAGAGGGAAGCGAAGGAGGGTTACAGTGTAATGTGCTAAAGTACTTGTTGCGGGTGTTTATATGTTGACATTCTTTAAAATATGAGTTAAAATCACAGGACGAACAAAATTTAGCATTTGAAATAGTAGCAGTTATTCTGAATTAATTGAGCGTGTTTCGATGGCAGTGATGGTTCAATAAAAAAAGTTATGGAACAGGATCTAATGAACGACAATGTCTATAGTTGACATGAGGCATTTCTCATTTTTAAAATATTCCGTAATGAGATATTTTTCATAATTATGAGATATTCCAGAAGGCGCTGTAATATTTTCAAAATTACGGTGCTTGTAGAAATAGACGTGTGATTATATCTGCCTACGAACTACATGTTTTAAATGACAATTTATGAATTAAATTCTAACTCGTTCGGAATTTAAATATTTTTTTACTATCCTTGGGGTAAACATCGTGCTAAGAAGTGAAAAAAAGGAAACTTCACAACAATGTGCTAATCAACTTTAACCTTTTGCACTTTCTATTTTCATGTACCATTTTGAAACAAATTCTACACCCTTTCACTGTGTTTCAAACATCTACCTCTCTTTCTCTAATTCGAATTTTGAGATAATAGAAAGATCAAGAATGTTCTGAGACGGTGCGTTCTGCAAAAGCAGTGGTACTGAGTAGCCGATTTATCTATCAAATAATTCTCTAAAATGAATTATTTAATGTTTTTGTCAGTTAATTTCTAATTATTTCAGTTGGCATGTATTCATATTTAACGTCAGCCGCAAGGCTTTGCATTAAAGATGTGATTTCATAAGTCCATTTAAGCTTTTTGCCCTTCTCTATTAATAAATTATTATAGAGCGGAATAAAATAGATAAAATACAAATGTTTGCGGCGAACTGTATGACATCAGAAATTGGAGCTGATATTTCAAACAATAAATTTAAAGACAGAAATTCTAGTTCCGAATTGGAAATGTTTTAATAAAATAATTCTCCATTTATTTCTCTCCAAATTTTTGAAAAATATAGCTTGTGTTTTGGAAGACAAATTCAAAATTCCCAGTTGCTTCTAGGATTTGGAACTTTCAAAGTCTCCTTCAAACTATAAGAAGTGCCTCATTTACATGCAGCCGGAAAGTTACGAACTATGAAGTGTCAATATTTGTCGTCAAATATCTTCTAAATAGAAAACAGTAGTGTTAGTACTGAGTAAAGATGACCCAATTTATCTTATGTGCCTTCTATGGGAAACTTTTTCAATTCACCCTATAGCTTCAAATTATCCTATTATAAGCTGAATTCATTGTAAAAAGTAAGCATTACTTTCGTCATTATCGGGCAAGAATGTGGTAAATAAGTATTCTGTAGGATAGAATTTATGCCTTCATTGACCATATAAGCCTCTAAAAATAATATTGCTTAATAATATATATGCTTGCACACTGATTACACATACATACATGCTATTTACGTCCTAAGTGAGAATATAATTTAAGGGAAGAAAACTGACAAATAAAGCATATCAGTAATTATGTACAGCAATCATCCATCACCTAACACAAACTTCGGCAAGTGCATAAACAAGATCTGAAGCTGAACGAGTGTATCCGATAGCCAAGTGGTAATCTCTCATTTTTGCCTCTGTGCAAGAACTATATCATTATAGCCCAACAGTAATATTTTCATTCTATGAGTTTTATTAGAGATAGAAGATTATCAGAATTACCAAAAATTAGTGCGGTTGAATTGATGTGAATTCGATTTGCTTGATTTTTTTTGTTGATCGTTTTATTGACCAAAACTCATCCTCGGTAAAAAAAGATAGAGAAACGAAGAATTCTGATTATGAGATCTCAAAATTTTGACAGTTTTACTGTTTACGACTTAAATATTTCATTTCCTTTTGAAAAAGATTCATTCAAGCAAAAATAGAGGGAAATGGCACATTTTTATTTAAATTTTATTGACACTTCCGAGCAGTTGACGAGCTAGCCAAAAAAGTTAGCCAATGCGTTAGCTGACACATTACCTCTGCTGCTTTATTGAATAAAAAGCAAATAAGTAGTAATAACGAATAAAGCATGAATGATAGCACAATATGATATAATACTACAAGGCTACGGATTTCAATAATAATGAAAAATCCGTAATAACTTCCATATCATGCAAATTTAATAGTTGCAAATTATCATCACAGCTAATAGATACATATAAGATTTGCTCACAATTGCATCTTGATTAACTTCAAAATGAATTTATTGTCAGCACTTCTCGATCATCTACGAATGATTAGAGCACCTTTGAACAACATCTAGCAAAGTTTTCTAAAGTGTTTTTTATTAAATTCAAATGTAGTGAAAACGATTTTGAAACCATAATACTTCTGAACTTTTTTAAACATAATTTTTAACGCGAAAAAATTTGTAATGAAGCGGGCTAAATTAGCATGAATATATATTATCATATATTCATAGTCTCCGTTCGAAGGCATTAATTCTATATAGCAGTATATCAAGAAGCAATAATCGATGATATCTATACGAGAATAAAGCTATACATATATTTAAAATGAAAATTAAAAAAAACTTCACCCTGTTATGATTTTTAATAGTATAATCTGAATATCTCTGAATTACTTAACATTATACTGAATAACATAGTAATGGAATTTCGATTAATAGCTAGAAATGCTATTCCTTCCATTGAGGTCACTCTTTAACTTCTGGCTGATAAGCACTGACCGATACTGATTTTGTCCACATGTTATGATGATTAAAAATACTTTATATGGAGCATATGAAATGTCACTCTTTATAATGTTTTGTCCTATTTGCTTGCTTCCAAAACTCATACAATTCAATACCTTCTAAAAATTATGATCGAATGACAAGAAAATTTGTTTAATTATCAAAATCATTTTCTTAGCTTAGTCTTATAAGCTTTATTTAAAAAACAGGGAAATTCATTTCTATTGTTAGACAAATATAATATCATAAATGCATATATCATTACTATAACTAATGAAAATATGAAAAATTAAAGATGAAAAATAGCAGAATGTAACATTAACTGCCAAAAAGATTATTCATAAAGTAAAAGCAAGCATCTCATAATTGTGTAAATTTTTGCATAAATTACAAGGAAGTTTGCACAAGTGGTAATATAGAAGTATCACGATCATGTTGCGCTAGAGGCGCTTTTCGAATTAATTCATTATCACTTCTTGAAGAATTATTTCCTAGTGATACTTCGTTATTTTGAAGCAATTGTGATTTTGATTTTTGCATTTGTAACAGTTCAGTGAATTCATCATCCACCGTTGTCATTGCCATTGCTGTCTCTGTTATCATAAGCATTTCTGCTTCTTTTAACTGATTGCTACCAGAAATATCAGAATGATTTGAAATCCGATGCCAAAGAATAAGCATAAGAATACAAACGACAAACAATAGTATTGAAGCAAATAATACAATAACAAACATTAATTGCCATGTAGTTCTATTTTGTAATATAGCTCGTTTCCATCCTTCAGTCTCTCTCCAAAATGTTCTGAAGATACCAGGAGCACTTGGTAGAAGTAATTGTTTCTCTTCTTCATTTGCGTTTAATCGATTAATTGAATTAATTCGTAGATCGAAACGTTTTGTACTGATGAGGAAACCTGTGGTAGCTTTGCACCAATAAATAGCCTCATCTTCAGGTACCGTTTGTCGAATATGCATCAAATGATATGTTCCATTGCTAGATGTAATTGCTTCTACTACAATTCGATTATCATTCGAATGGAGAAATTGATGGGTCAACTCATTTTTATGCCATTGTACTATAGGTATAGGATCACCCCAAACATTACATAGGAATGATATCGTTTCACCTTCTCTTATCTGTAGTGTTTCCTGAAGTGGAGCTTCGATTACTGGTCCACATGCAAAATCCTGCAATTATTATATTTATTAAGTTATTTTTCAAAAATTTTAAAATTTATTTTAATTTGAAGAAAAAATCGCACAATACTTATAAATAATTCTTCGGTGAAATACAAAAAATGAGCATATATTGGATATTTTAAAGGGTTTCTATCTCGAAAAATTTCCAACTACGTTGAAAAAACCAACTAACTGTACGTATATGCTATTTTTCGATCGCGCTAACATGTTATACTGCACACGCAAGTAATTTACATATGCCGGTTTTTACTTTCCAATCAATTCTACCTAGTAATATCTTAAAGAATGAATGAGTCATTCGTGAAATGGAAGATGTAAACCGATGGGTAAACTGAACTTATGCACTACTCAAACATAAATTAGGCGTAATTGCATGAGTAATTATTTTTTGAGATCATTTCGTCAGATAATTGTTATATTCCCTAAAATTTTAAAAATGTCGGAAACACGAAGGACATAAATTGTAGAATCTGAAAAGAACTATTTATTTTTATTTTTATGGAGAAGAATTATTAATCAAACCTCAGCCGCTCAGAAAAACAAGTGAATGAACCCATTTAGGATCTTCAAGTACGACTCTTTACGACCTTAAGAATAGTATCTATTGAGCTTTTGTTATAATGTGAGATGCAAATAATTTCAAAGTAAACGAAACAAGAAAGATGAGCAATCCGGAGTAATAACACTCTAATTAGACAATGTTCAATCTGTACTATAATGCCAGAGGTGCTGTATTCGAAATATGATCAATTCTTATCTTTCTAACTTGTTATCTTCCTTAATTTATCATCGATTAGAAAAATCCCATCTTATCAAAATAAAGACTAGTTTGACATGAGCCTAAATAAGTAAATTATAATCAATTGTATACCTTAATGCCGGAAGAATTCATCAATAAAATTTATAGTAAATCAGTCTTCCAGTAAGCTTTTTTTATAAATCAGAAAATGTTTAGATTATTTGGTGCAATTAACACGGACACCGATATGAAATTAATCAATTTATTATTTCCAATACAGAGTGAGATTTGTATTCAAAAAAAGGCTTACTTTCTTGGAACAGTTGAAAGCCTATGTTGTTGGACTTAATGAATGAATATATTATAATGATAATCTATCTGGCAATATAGAAGGAGAAATTTAATTATTATATAAGCAAAATTTTCCTCATTTTTCTCAAACAAAATTAACATTAAAAAACGCATAATTCTTGATTTAAAATTTCTTTTTTTGAAAAGGCTCATTTGAGATAGATAAAGATGATCGAGTGTTTGTTTATTATATTCATTGAATTTGACACATTTTAATAAATATCTTTGAGATTTTTTAATTCTTGGTTTCATTAATTAATTGGGTGTTATTGGTGACGTTCTCATAAATTAGCATAAAGCATATTGTTTATAAAGTTGTTTACTTTTTTCAAGAAATGGTAATCTCAAGGACATATCAGTGATTATTTTAAAGGTAGAGTTGTAGTTGTGTCTCGAAGTTTCATTCAAAACTGTTTGTTTGAATTCTAAAATTTTAGAATTGCTAATTATCTTACTATAACTTTTTGAGTATTTTCAATTTCACTAATAAAAAAAAAGTATTCTGAATGATCACTAAAATTGTATACGACATGAAAACTCATACATACTTGAGAAGTAAACTTACTGCGTTAAGTGAAAAATGATTTCCTCGTTTATAGGAACTTCACTGTTGTTAAAAACTTAAATTTTTTTTGAAGATCAGTGAAATATTTTCATTCAATCCACAAATGATTAAAGCAATGAGAGGCATGAATGCAATATTTCGTGAAACAATAATTAAATGCTTAGTCCATATTTAGATTTTATTTAGCTCTTGTTTTGATATTATTAAGTTTATTGCTATCTCAATAGTAGAACTTTTTTGAAAATTTTCACATTCGCAAAATTTTCAAAAAAAAGTAAGAAGTAGGAAATAATTAAAATTTTTAATGTAATTTACGATCCAATCCTATTTCATATTAAATTTTTTAAGAAAAAAATTGCAAAGCAGACAAAAAATACTGCAAATGCTTAGTAATTTAAAAAATTAAGGTTGGATTTTATTAGGAACAAATAGTAGCACTTGTTGGTTCACTCATGTATTAATGGATAAATGCTACTTCATGCTTATACCTGGCATGCTAAAATAGGTAACTTACCTATTAGGATATATTACTCGACACTACAACATTTCTATTAAAATTGTCGTATTATTTTGCGTAATCAAATGCCTATAATAAAATTATTATTGCAGTAAAAAATTTGATTACAAGTTAAAAATTTATTATTCCAATGCATATCTTATCCCTATTTTAGAATAGCAATAGTTTTATTTTAGTCTTCATAGCACATTTAATTTTCTCATCAACCAAGTCTCGTTAATGAGAAAGATGCATTTCGATGGAAAACATTGTATCGATGAAAGGAATATTTACAGCAACCTTCAAAACTTCAAGAATATTATCAATGAAAAATGGATTTTAGAGGTAATTTCAAATATAAAAAAAGAATGCTTAGAGGTAATTTCAAATATGAAAAAGATGACTATATCCCAGCAAAATGAAATAAGATATGATAGTTTTTTACATTAAATATAATCGGATAATAATTCCCTCCTGATCAAAGCTGCAAAATATTCCAATAATAAAAATGTCATTTATTCTGTATCAATTAATAATAAAAGCCTTTTCAGAGCTCTTCACATATGCATCACTAAACAAACATCTAAACTCAATTCAGCATTACTGAATTTTTGGTGCTATCAATACTTTCTCTCTTGAATATGCAAATGAATCTTCAAATCAAATCTTCTCTAAAAACTTGGAATATTGCATATTCTCTTTCAAAATGCTATAAAATTTTTCAGATTCTAACTGAGCCATACATTATGCAAAAAGAGAAATAGCGTATCTTTTATTGATTATTAGTATATTTGATGAAAAAGATAAAAAATTTTCTCAAATTTTCTTAACTGATTTATGTTAAAATATTCTCTGAAGTCTTCAAATGATTCATATGATTATCGGATGGAATGAGGACTTAGTAATCAACTTATTTTTAAATATAAAATTTCGCTTACCTCTAAACTGAGATCATCCCAATTGATATCACGAATTTGTGATGGTTCATAACATCGCGATGATTTAGCATTTAAAGTTTTTCGCTGAAAAGCTATAAAATCTCGCAAATGACAATCACATCGCCATGGACATCCATCCAGTTCAATGATTCGTGTCATATCTCCGAAATTCGTAGATTTTATGACATGAAGTTGATTATAGGACAGATCAATTATTTCCAATTTGGGCAATAATAAGTTATATTCAGCGATGTAACGAATTTTATTATGTGAAAGGTCGAGATGTGTTAATTGTTGTAGGGAGTAGAGTAATGGAACAGCTACGAGATCATTATAAGAGATAATCAAATTTTGAATGAAAAGTTGATAATCACTCTTGAACTCAAGAGTTTGAAGTAGGTTGTGTGACAAATCAAGTTTTCGTAAATTTGTTGCAAAAATGAAAGCCTCCGGTGAGATATCCGATAGATTACAAAAATTCATCATTACCGTTACAATTTCCGTATTATTTAATAGCAATAATTGCTTTATCATAGAATTTACGATTCTGAGAATCATCGTTCCAGATGGAATCGGTGATACATTCTGAAATGTAACATTGATGCATTCATAGACACGTCGATTATTTTGTGTAAATTGTCTACAATTACTGCTATTATGGGTAGAATCACTAGCAATAATATCGCCTCTTATTAGGACACAGGATAGCGATAAAAGAATGAAATAATATGAATAAAGTAGAATTGAAGGATTAAATATCCAAAATATTAACAGTGTAACATACATTAGCAGAAGAAGGAGCAAATGCGAAGACTGTATTATTGCGTCGAAAACATTTCCAAGAAATTAAAATGAAGCACAGTAAAATCCCGAAATTAGGAACAACTAGTAAACGATCAGCATTTCTGATAAACAATTTTCATTTTGGAAGGCAGTGAATTTTAACTTTCTGATGAGGAATGCCTTCCTAAAAATCAACAAATATATATGCGCCTCAAAATGATGAAATCTGGCTTGTTCTTTCAAACAGTAACAATTAAAACAAGGCAGAAACAATCATCGGTTGACAATAGACGTTGTCATCATCCTTACCATCATTATTTTGGCCGTTACAGTTGTAGAATTTTATGGGACTGGAGAGTCAAATGGGACTAGTGGCAGTTATGAAGAGTTGGCCTAGGCAGTTCAATGAAGAACAAATTTATCCACTTCACCACTTATTATAACAATTTTCTATTCATCATTGCTTTCAGAGCTAAATAGAATGTGAATAATTGTAAATTTTGCGTTAGAACCCACAATATTCGAATAACCAGCGCTCTTTATTGTTACACACTGGGTTATTGTTATACACTTTATTTGATTAATTTATTCATTCCATTCATTTATGCCATCATTTTATACATTTCAGATATATCGCTTATTGATGTTAACTTACTGAATAATTGCATTAGATATGACGGTAATTGACTGAACGATTCACTCTTCCCATACAGAACTGCTGGAATTTTCGTTAAATTGGAAATTATGTATATCAAAAATATCAACCAAATGCAAACACTCCGTGAAAATTCAGTATTTTTATATACCATACTAATAGTTTCAATAATTTCAGACTAAATTTTAAACATAGTTAAATATGTTAATGCTACAGCAGTACAACAACTTAAACACTGAGAGAGGATTACAGTAAGTTCGTTTCGTAATATTTTCCCGCAATAGGTAAACAATGAATCAGAAATCATATCTCGTTAGAATTCAATTGAAATTCAAAAAAACTGTTATAAAGGTGGAGATACATTTTGAAATCTCTAAATTTTAATATGTTTAATAACCGATAATCGCTTAAATTAACGGGATTAAAATATCGGGCTCTTAACAAAAAGATAGAAAAGTCAAGAGGAAAAGAAAGAGATTTATGAGAATATAAATGAACTATAAAATAAACTAAGATAGAATATATCTCAAATCTCAAAGATAGAATAAAGATAGAATATAAACTGAACCGTGTGAAATTATATTTGAAAGTATAATGTATTCTACAGACAATTTTGAGAGAAGCTTTAATAGTTAAATTTAATTCTTTCTAAAGTATAGGAAAAAATTATACGAAATGGGTAAATGTGATGATTGAGAGAGAGAGAGAGAGAGGAAAAGAATAACTTTCCATTTGATTAGGCACCAATGAGCAATAGTAATATTGCATAGCGAACAGGAAATTAAAGCTTCTCAGCTCACTTATGGAACTAAGCTATCATTAAAAAATATTTACATAGAGCTTGTCTCGAGAAAATTCCTTTAAAAAGTAGCGCTTTCTTCTGATATAGGTGAGTAAGCATGAGGAAATATATCGAAACAATTACTCATATGATAATTGTGATTCTGAAGGGGAAAAAATAGATATTAATGTAAACAAATACACTTGAGAAAATGAACGAGTACAGATGGATTGCAGTGAAATTGGATAAATGGACATATTTTATGGCTCATTTCTCTGTTCTGTGTCTTATTAAGGACGAAAAGTTTTTGTATGTTCGTTTTATAACAAAATAAAGGATGAAAGTGGATTTCGTAAAATGTAAACTGCAAATGCATCAATTACAAACGAAGATAGATATTTAGAGGGAGTACCCTTCTCTCAAACCGATTCTTGTTTTGGAGAATGCTCAATACGAGAGAGAAGTAAAAAGCTTAATTGGGAGCTATTTAATGGTCTTAAAAGTAATATCATCAAGTATAATGGATTGAGGAGATTCTCAAGTATAATGAATTGAGGATCACAATCCCCAGCACTATGTGAAGTATATCATCTGCAACTCTTAAACGACTACCTCACATTCCTTTGCTCTCTAAAGATACTTATCATCAAGCGACTAATCATAAAATTGTGCTTATTAAAATTTTTAAAATAACTGGATTATTCCTTGCATTCAAACTTTTACTAGCTAAACGAAACAATACGCCACGCAACACGCATAAGCTATGGTACTAATCCAGAAATCAAAATTAAGATGCGAAAAAGAGAACAATGATATAAAGAGTAATGAGAACCACAAAGCAGCTGGACAATATAAGAAATAGTCATCAGTCATAAAACATTGTCTAATCCGAGTATGGTCCAACAAACAAACGCGTAATCCTTGCGATCCAAACGTTCATGGTATGAATCAATATCTTAGACTAACACCATTTATCAATTTGATTTAAATTACGAGACAAAGTTTTTAATTACATATTAGCAGCAATTACTGATCAAGTCACAAAAAGCACAGTAATGTCGGTAAAGTCTTTCTTGAAATAATTTATCGACAAACATTTATTTTGCAAGTATTTAAATACTTCCCAAGCGAATCTTTAACACACGCACGAATCCTTAACAGGAAAATGTTATATAATCAGGACTTTCCTATCAACAAATTCCTTTTTACAATAATTACATTGTCTTACTCCCTGACAGAGATTTAAACACCCTAAATACTTCTGTACACAATCTTCATACATGATATAATCCATATAGCACACACAACATTAACAACAGAAGAGAAAATCCATAAAATATAACTAGTCTTTGGCTGCAAAATAATCGAACTGCGCAGAAATTAGCAAATTCATAAATCAGACGAACGAAAAAACTCAAAACAGATTTGAAAAAATCTTGGTATTTGAACCATATTCATACAATACATTCACACGCCTTACGGTTTGTACTACCAAAGCTGGAGATCTTTACAATGATGGGACAGTGATATTTATTCCACTTAAAGGTTATCAGGAATGCTTCAATTGCTATGATTTCTTTATTTATAAGTGCCTCAATATATCATCACACGATGCGGGCCCTCCATCCGCGTCATGGCTTCGAAAACGTATTCTATTCACAAAAAATCTACAGAACTTTGTTCTGTTAAAAAACCTTATAAAAAGATTTTCATACTAGAACATTGAGACGAAAACTATCAAAATAGGAAACGGACTGTAAGGGTAACAACGGTTAATCCATTGAAATTCGCGGGTCTCAAGGATCAGATCCATGCAAATCGTGAGGTCGCCAATGCTTGTGGAATAAACTGAGAATGCTTAGATCTCGACAACAAGCAATTCTTATTCATAGTCTGCTGAAGTAAATAAATCTTGAGAATACAAAATTTTCTAAAATATCCTACAAAATCATCCTTAAATTGAAAGAGACTGGTACTTTAATAAAAAAAACTAAATGATTTGAAACGCCGCCATATTATCTTTCAAACAAAGATTAAATTAAAATTTACAAAACTCAGCAAAACTGACTTACTCCCACATCTAACTTCATTAATCGAAACAATTGTTACCGCAGATTCAATTGTTAACGCAACTTTTCTTCAATAGCACACACCTTTATCGAATCCAACATATTTTGAGAGTTAATTTATTCAGTTCGCAATAAATATAACAAATATTCAACATTGAAGAAACCGGTCAAAAATTATTGTCGATGCTTTTTTGTGATAGATTTTGTGGTACCTGTAAATTTACAATTCACAAACTTGAACGAATTTTTAAAGATAAATGAAACATAAGCATCAAAATCAAATACGTCATAAAAAGACAAATTTTTCATAAAAAAAAGACAAATTTTTTGTCATAAAAAGACAAAAAGACAAAAATTTCTTATTCTTTCTTTAAAAGTCCAAAACTGCTGCATACATTCCGATAGTTACAACCACAAATCACCGATATTCGTTTGAAAAACATGAGAATGATAAAATTAATAAAAGCAAAACCAACTTTAAAACATTTTTGTGGATAAAATAAAGATGCTAGAAAATTTGATGAAGCCATTTGTTTCTCGAAATTTGCTGCTGCTCGATCCCTTTCCCATGGCGCTCTAAAAAATAGGCTTTTCACTGTTCATTCTCTGATATATCACTTTTTGGATTTATGGTAAACAGTATGAGCCTCAAAGGCTCCAAGCGTGTCTGGAAACACAACCATCATTTCAGCGTACTAGTAATCGAACAAGCAGTAAAGCCGAATGAGACAATTTACTGACTGCTGCTGCAAGTCCATTTCGACAGACTTTACAATAGTTGCAATTACCAAAAGGTTCCGATAATGTTTCTCTTAGACAATACGATAGTGCCAAAAATGAAACAAATTTAACATATTATTTATTCTTCTAAGCTTATTTACTTCATCTATCCTTAGCTTTAGCAAATTTGTTTCAAGCAAGAAACCTATGAAACTCAAAATAAAGTTTGTACACCTTCCTGTCCGAAATATCCACACTTACTTTGCTACCAAGTTTACAATATCAAAGGTTTCAAATTGAAATAAAACAAGATCTAAATTCTCAGTTCACGGGGGGATAACCATATACACTAAGTCATACACATTATTACAATCCGACATCGAACATTTCTTTTTTACTTCCCATTTCCAATTTCAGCATTTGCTAACTTGAAATTGCCAATAAAATTAGATTTTGATTTTAGGACTGAAATTAACCAGAAAGGCTGGCGGAGGAAAACTATTAAACACCTGAACAAAAAAAAAATTTGAAAAACTCACACGGCTTCAATATTTTTGGTTGATCCGCGTGTGAAATGTTTTGTTGTACTGATATGTAGCACTAATTCATCAAGTGTATCAAATCGCTGAGCACATTTTAGACATGTGAAAATATTACCAGTGATGCTGTTAGGAACACATTTGCTGGGCGCTGCTGGCACCGGCAATTTTGCCGTGCCAATTCGATGTACCAATTGCGACAATTCATCTAAAGCATCTGATGCTGATGTCTTCGTTGAATCTGAAATAATTTTTTATCGCATTTCAAAATCTAAACGGCATCTGCTGCATCTACACGTCCATTCGCAAAACAGTTTTAAGTTGCATTTAACCCACCTGGGCTATTTAAAAATTTGTTAGCAAACTATCGGTTATATCGAGTTGTAAGAAAATCTGTCAGTCATATCCAAGAAACGAAAGAGAAATTATGAAGCAAAAGAACTTTGGTTATGCAATTTCAATCAATTTGAATTTCCTAAGCATAAATTTGCACCAAAACATTTCTAATAAATAAGTGTTAACACATTACAATTAACAAAGTTCAGACCTATTCAACAAAATAAATGATTTCTATTTTCAGTCTACACCACTTTTCCGAAGCTTGCGATATCTTTCAACATATCAAAGGGATGACTCCAAAGTTTCGAGTTACCGTCTTATTCTTGCATTACACTTCGACATCTGTCTAACCTAATTATCGGTCACAATTTATTCGAAGCTATAATGCAAAATTTAGAGTAAATTTACCGTATCCAAAGGGCAATTTCATTGAATTAGCATTAGTGCACGATTGTGTGAAAGCATATCTTGTAGACGCAGAGGGTTTACTGCTTCTGTAAAGCCCAAAAGTTGAACATCTCGCCTCACTATTAACCCGAACACATCGTTCCAAACGTTTCAGTGGAGATTCCGAATCCGTTGACTCAGTAGACCCGTCGGCTCTAGAAGTACTTGCACAGGGAATATCAAATAAATTGCTCTGCGTGGAATTTCCATTTGCAGTGAATGCGGAAAGGAAGGACTCATGGTGGTCATTGGCATCAGAAATAATTGGGACTGGGCAGGCTGCGGGAATACGGGGACTCTGTCCATTGACGGATCCACGATGAGCGAACTGCGATCTGAGAAATCGCGCGCATTCCCCAACACATTTCCCAAAATCATCCGGCTCATGCTTAGGAAGTTTCAAGGGAGGAGCATTATCATGGAAGGCAACTCCCGCATTTTGGATGGAAGATGCGCAAAAAAGATTTCCCGTCGATTTATCCGGTTCTTCCATTGCCGACATGGCTCTGCTATAAGGAGGAGGAGAGAATGACGGAGAACGCCATGCCGGAGAGAGTAGCTCTTTAAAATCCCCCGTTGAGCCATCTTCCTCAGAAAACACTCCGCCGGCAAGCCGTTTTGCGGGTCTCGCCTGCTTCTTCCTCATTTGTCCATCCAGGAGATCTATCTATATCAGTAGTGACGATGTTTCCCATGGTTAGTCAGGGAGGATCCCTTCCCTTCCCTCTTTACACCCTCTCCCCCGTAATCCCTCCCGAGCCCTCTCCCCACCTGCTTTCATCAGAATTCGATGCCATACCCTGATCCTTTCCTGTTTCTCCTCTTCCTCTTCGCTCTCCCCAGAGAGACGGAGAAGGGAGCTGTCTGCCCGCCTGCCACTCCACCCAGCCCAACATGATTGATTGATTGATGGCAACCGACACCACACCGACGCATTCCCTTCATTCAATTCCTTTCGCTACTTCGTCGCGGTCTCGACGAGAAAACCTGTCTACGGTACTTTTTGGATGCCAAGTGGCGAGTTTTGTATATATAATTGACCCGGTTTTTTACGGAGCAGCGGGATGTCCGGCAACAGACCAAGACGAGCGCAACATGAACCTCTTCAGGAAAATGCGGTAACTTATTTTAATCAGAATAATGCATGAGAATGTCCTATCAGGAATGCTTATTTTCCGGGAAATATATGATAGATTTAGTAGAACCGTAGTCTCTTCATTAATAGAATGATACGTCATGTTTGTATTCCTTTCACTTTGTTCGAACATAAAATGTCTTGCTTACATTTGCCATTTGCGATCTATGCCTCGAATTTATATATTCTCATTTTAAAAGCAATTGATTATTATGTGTATTTCTTTTTTATATATACTTATTGTAAACGAGTAATAGCAAATGGAAATGTTTCCTTACGTAAGAAATGAACACAAAAGAGTGGAAAAGTAGGCTTGCCGACGAAATAACAAGGGAAAAAGAATAGAATGCAATATTTCCGAATATTGTAGGATTTTATGCTAATATGCTCGGTGATGGAATCATGTTTCGAAGATTTATATGAATGACATTCCTAGTTCAACTTATAGTAGAAGGGAATCTTTTTTCGCAGTGAATGATTTGTATTATTGCTCAAAAAAGCTTAGTCATTGCAAGCGTTTATGTTATGTTCTGAAGCAACCATAGATGATGAATAGGAGGACATGGGCTATCATGGAAAATACAATCAGCCAAATAATGGAGCTAACGAAGTACAATTAATAAAATTTCAAGCACTTCGTAACCATCTTCTAGTATAATTTTGTTACACTGGTGTTATGTTCTGTGAGATGTGAAATATTCACCAGATTTAATTACCATGCTGTATGAAACAATGTGAAATGTTTGTTTGTTTTTGACAGAGCGCTTTACTGCTCAATATGATTCGAACACTTACAAGCAATTCCTCGGCAGATCAAAAGGAATTGGATCGTAGGCGTTTAGAAGTTGGATTTGCTGAAACTTCAAAAGAAATAGATCAACTGGTTCTTGGTAAGTAGTAAAGAAATGAAGCTGGCTTCGTGACAGATATTTCTTATTTTATTATTACTTTTAGAATTCAAAAAAAAACCATAGATAGCATTTGCGAAACTTTTTCAGTTTGTTTATGGCAAGATTGCAGTTCAATAATTTTTAAATAAGATCTTAATATTTTTTAAATATTTTTAAATTAATTTAAATTAATAATATTTTTAATATTAATATTTTTTAAATATTTTTAAATTAATTTAAATTAATAAGATAAGTATTTTTTAAATTTTTTAAAAATAAAAATGATTTTCAATGATTTCATTGACTTTTATAAGATTAAGAATTCACCAAAGGAAAAAAATCTTCAGAACATGAAAACGATGTTGGGACTTGCTTGGAGTCATTTAGGAATGTTTCCACTCGAATTACGGGTCAGTTGTCTTTCTTCTTTGAAATTTAAATCAATGCATTATTTTATTCAGGATCGTATATAAAGCCAACAGTTTTGTACATAAATATACTCTTATTTTCATGATATGCTTATCTTATCATTTTTTTTTCAGCCTGCCGTGAAAAAGTACACAGTATACGTAGTAGTTTGCTCACATGTCGCTCTCTACTGCAGTGCAGACGGGATGACTTAAAAAGACTTTGGATGGAAAATGCTCAACAAAAACACGTCAGCACAATTCTGGCTCAAATGTATTCTGATTTTCTAGTTCGGATCATGTTTGAAATCGCATACAAGAACTTCGAAATCACGGAAATGAGAAAAAAATGTTGGTAACGGCAAGGTGAAATAAGTGATCAGCGCAGTAGCTTAACTTGATGAGGATCCGGTTAAAGCAGAAAGTTCATTTACATGCAATTCTATCTCTGAATCTTGATGGAATCATAGGATGTGTGCAGTTGTATTATAATAAGAGTATTACTAACTTTAGATTCATCGGAAAATTTCACGATTGCTGAAGTATTTTAAATGATCTTTTCATTTACAGAGAAGGACTAAATCGTTTGGGAAGTGAAGTTGAGGCAGCTATGGCTACTTCAAATTATCATTTAGCTGCGAATTCTTTGAACGAAGCAGGTTTGTTTTTCGTTATGATTATTTTCATTTTGACCTTGAATCTTAAGATATAACATTCTAGATTTGTTGTTCAATGGTCCATTTTCAAATATCGATGGATTGAATCAGTTACGTTCACAGTTGCTTGATTTGTCCAAAGTGAGTTGAAGTTTGTAATAACTCATACTGAACAGCATTTTATGAAAAGTTAATAGGAACATAATTTCTTCATTTTACTGATTACAACTTTGTTTAAGCAAAAAATATGTTTCAATCAATTGATATTTGGAAATTTATTCTTTCTGTCGCACTTTATCTCGTAATCTCACGGTATTTTTTAAGAAACTCGTGGAACGGATTGTTAATGACATCACAAATCATTTAATCGTTTGGCCGTTCGAAAATCATGTAAATTTTAACGTCTTACAGTTGCGAATATAAACGATTTTGACACCGTACACATACAAATTGAGGGGAAACAAAGTCCAAAATCAAAATCCTGTTTGGTTAATATTTCTCATAAATAAGGCATTTATTGATATAATGTCGAGAAAACGAGTTTTACAACGTTTTGGGGGCAATAAATAATATTCAGACTTCGTTAGCTTTCATTTGCATCTCTCTGAATCATTTTCAAATTTCAAGTGCCACCTAATTCGTTTCCGTGTCATTATTTATTTTCTTTAAATCTCTTACATGCAATCATACTGTTGTTTTTAAGCTTGTTGAAATAATCAAATCGCTGCCGGAAAATAAAGTTACGGAATCAGTAGAATGCGCTGAAATTATGTCTCAATTTAATGTAAAGGAAAATGTTGCTGCGAATGGCACACATTCCGTAGCTGCCCGTTGTGCCGAGAATATTCATGCCTTATGCGTGTTCGGCAGATTGTCAACAACACTTCGACAGTTTTTACAAGGTTCTCCGACAGTATTTAACCGTCTGATACATGCATCGGCGAATGTAGTCTGCGTTGCGTTTGATGGAAATCAAAAAGAAGATGAACAAAATTTGGCTCAATTTATGCAGTTGGTATTGTTTTTCCTATTTCCTTGTCTGACGTCACTTTCGAAGACAAAGCTTTTTTACTTATTGTGAAAGATTTCTTGGTTTCTAACATTCATAAACGAAAAAGTTGGAAAAATTAAAGGGTTTTAGCAAAATAGTCAAGTATAGGATTAAATTAAGATACTCTTCAGATATCTGTATCTTTCATGTTCTTATGATCTTGCTTATAGTTATGAGTCACATTTACGTCATTTTTTCACATAATTTTTCTCTAAGTGGTTTGTATAAAACACTTCACTCTGTTTTCTACTATACTGTTAATGCATCCTTTTTGTGCAGGTGTTAAGTCAATTTCGTAGTAGCTATGAGACACATCTTGTAATGGATGCTGAACTGAAAAAATTGCGACAAAACGATTTGGGTGATGACGAAAAAGTGATATCCTTATCCGAAAATTTTTGGGAAACAGCGCAAGCTATAATCGAAGATTTGGTGAATGAATATATCGCGGAAGATGGCAGTACTTCCAGTTTAGTTATGCAAAAATCAAATACATCTGCTGCAGAAAAAGTTACCTTGTTCAGATTTGATGCTTCAGCTTGCGCACTTACTACTAAGTCAGGACAAACTATTAAGCAGGTTAATTTCGTTTCTCTAATTATCAAAATTTCTTTTAAAGATTATCAGTTTCAAAGAAAAAGTAGAACATAAGAACATAAGAAAATTGAACATAATTTCTACATATTTGCACGCAGTAATTATTTTCATACTCCAGTTTTTCGTCTTTCAGCTTCACTCTTTGATATGCCCTTCGTCACCCTGGAATATTACTGCTCTATATCCACAGCTTGAACGTTTCTGCAATGAGCGTGAAGCCCATGCGAACGTAAAACCCTGTCGTTTACGTTCTTACTTACACTCATTCATTGTTAATGTTTTCATCGATCAATTCAAATGTAAGCTTGGAGCTCTTGCCGAGCAAGCACTCAATGAACAGGATGCCTGGCGTGTTCTCATGCATTACCCTAATCCGGCATGTTTTTAACTTCATTTGCGTTTGCGGTGAATTTGTTCAGTATAAATCACTCCATCAGTGTTTTGATTTTCGAGTAAAAGAACTTTTTGTATGTCGTGAATTCATTCTTTTGCAGAAAGTTTTGGGAAGTTGTTGGAATGTTTATGCAATTTGTAACCAAATCGGAAAATTGATTCTTGCCATGGATAAATACACAGAAAGGTTGTCAGCATTGTGGTTACTTGTTATTGATGAATTTTCGGATAGCGCTAATAATGTTTATGAAAAAGTCTTGTCTTTTTGGAAGCCCACTTCAGAAGGAAAGGATTCTGCGGTAAGATGTTACAGGCTTATGCTAATATTGTTCGTAAAAATTTCTTTATGAATCATAAAGTCTTTTTTTAGCAAGATATTTGGATTTTGTAGTTTTACTTAATAGCACATCCAGTTAAAAAAGCATTTTGTAACACTGCTGTTCAGAGCATTTTCAAAAATATGCCAATAGTTCATTTGCATATTGCTATCATATATTCGCGGTTCATCAGCAACTTGTGTTCCGATGATGCAAACTGTATTTACTTTTTCTGGTAGTTTTTTTTTCTGATAGTTAAAGTTCTTGTCTTGGATTTAAAGAGGTATTTATGCAATAGAGCTCAATGAGAGCTTTATATGAGTGGTAGCGATGTTCAGGTTATCAATATGGGTCAGGAAGATGGACACAGAGAAAAGCGTAAAATAAGCGCAGCATGGGCAGTGGACGAAGACATATCACGTCTCTTGAAAAGTCTACCAAACTGGTTCATGGTGAGCAATTATGAAAGTACTTCAACGCAGTCAGTGAACACGTCTTCTGCAGTTTCACCCACAGGCGAATCGGAAAGTGATGTGTGTTACCGAAATGAAAGAGAATCGGAAATTCTCATAGGTAAGCTTTCTTATTCTCGTCTCTGTAACTCAAAGATGCGGAAGTAAAGGCGTTATCATTTGAAATTTAGAATTTGCTTTCGACATCACTGGAAATTTATTATTTAAAATTGCACTCAGGTAATCTGGGAACAGCAAAACAGCTTGTTCGTGATGAGCTGATAACCGATGTTGAAGTAATTCGTTCGCTAGCATGTATACATGAATCACTGAAATGGTTTTGTAGCAGCATGCGTTCTCTCATCGAAAAGCTCCCAGAATCATCCCGTAATGCAATGCGTAAATGCGCTGTACAGTTACAAAAAACAGATGAAAGTGGCGTTGTTCAGTGGGTGAGTGGTCTATTAATTTATGATTCTCTGAAGCAGCAGCGTTTTATATTTTCAAATGTAAAGAGATGTTGTATTTTTGGAATATGCAGAATATGCATACATACCTATAACATCGGTGTAATGATTTAACAAATTTGGATTATATATTGGAGCAGTATTTCCATATTTTTTATATATCAAGTTATTTATTTTTCTTTATTATTAAGAAGACTAAAACATAGGAACACATCATTCAAACAAAAGTTTAGTTTAATTTGTGTAGTAAGTTTAGTGTCTAGGAAATTTATTTTCGTTGAATTAATGATCTCTTAAAGAAATTAAAAAAATTTTTAAGGAAGAGCATATTGCCGCTGCATTAGATTCCAGATTATCCAATTTGGATGCAAAAGCTGACACATGTTTATTAATAATTCACCTTGAGCTTCGTGTACATTGCTTTTTCCATTTGTTACCATTAGCTCGGGCAAGGCCGTCGTTGCCTCAAGATGAACTCGATAACGAGGTATCTGTACTTTTACAATAAAACAAAATATTTCTCATTTTCTTCTTCATTTCTCTCTTTATGTTTTTTTTCATGCTTAGTTTTGTATGTCATCTATATCACATAAACTAAATTGATTGAAGGTTTCAAATCTTCATATATGACTTTTTAAAGATGTAACTAATCACAGGTAATTGATTTTGGGCGCGATATGGCTCATTTTCATCAGGTGCTTAGCACGAATCTTCCACTGCATAAAATGAAATATCTCTTTGATGGTTTAGGACATCTTTCAGCTTCTATCTTCATTCATTCGAGGTAATGGGTTCATGTGCTGGAATTTGGTCTCTTAAAAGTTTGTTTTACACAATCCCAAGGACGAATTTGAAAATTAACTTTTTCGGATTTTCGTTTGACATTAAAAAATGCTCGAAGATGAATGTGAACGATGTTGTTTGTTTTAAAGTTTTCCGCTGCAATTTTGCTGAGTATAAAAAATTCCAGCCAACACATACAAAAATTGAATGAGAATGGAAAAAAACGCGTCTGTCGAAATATTTTTGCGGTGCAGCAGAGATTAAGTCAGCTGACAGGACATCGTGAAAGTGAGCTAGAAAGAGCGAGAATTTTTTTCGAATTACTCAATCACGATCCTGATCAGTTATTGGCTTTAATTCTTGAGCGAGGAGCAATATTTTCACATCTGGAATACACCTATCTTCTTGCACTTGCTGTAAGGTAAGCATCCATTTGTTTGGAATATATCAGTTTTTTAATTTTTTAAAAATTAAAAGAAATTTAAAAAAACCATTTTTAAAAAAGCTTGCTAAAAATAATTTATGAGATGAGTAATCTATCTCTTTAGATCACATCCAGTACTAAGCGCACAACCTGGTGCTTTGGAACAAAGGATCTCCCAACTGAAAATGATCTTAGCACAATTAAAGAAGTGAACACTATTTGAACGCTTCATAGAAAATTATGGAAAACTGAGATGAAAGTCGTTATTTGATTGATAATTTCTTGCCATTATGCGCACTTACCAATCCAGCATTTGAACATTTCTTTTCAGCATGTGTAATTTTAATATTCTTTTTTTTAACTGCGGAATAAAGTGACTGGTTGAAAAAGTTTGAGTTTAGGTTAATCAGGCTCCTATATGCTTCAAATTACGGAAAAGATTCACTTATTAATGTTGTTTTATGATCTTCGTTGCCATGGATATTTAGTGCCTCACACTTGAAAGTAGTATTAGTAATAGTTTAATCATTGTTTATATTTCACGAATGTTAAAACTCCTCTTTAAATTGAAAGTTATAGTTGTGGAGGACCCTTGTTTTTAGTATATAGTATTTTAACAAATTTAATTAAAAATTTAAGCAAAATATAATTCTAAAATGCTGTTTGTTCAAAAATGCATGCTATTTAAAGATCAGTTGTAAAAATTCTTTATGTGATGTTGGTATCAGCTAACGTGATCTTACCTGACGGCTTTCTATAATATTTCCATAATGCAAAGCATGTTTGCATTTTACGTTTTTGTCTATTTTCAAAAGATCATGCAGATATTGTACATTTTTTTTATCGACGAAGATTTTTATACGTAGACTATGAGTAATTTTTCTTTCTTCTTCTTTTTTTAACATTATTGTTGCAAAATACAGAACATAGCAATATTCTGAAGATCTGTGATGTTGAAGAATTAGTGCTTTCAAAATTTGATGACAGTGTGCTCATTCAAGATACCTTTTATGAAAGCTCTGTATTGACAGTAATTCATCTCACGAACTTTCGATATTTTGTAGATTGTGCTCTTTTGATAACGAAGACTTTAATCACTTGGTATTTTCAAAATTTTAAAGCTGCAAATATATTTTTGTAAGTCGGTAAACTGATGCTGTTCTAACTTTTTTAAGGATAACATGGCATCACCAGCTTTACAAATGAAAGGAAACAATGTTATCTTTAGTTGTTTCACTAACTTGATAAGGCTAGTAAGCTTCTCTACACGTGTTCATCACGTTGATGGATAAAGCATTGCAGTTTATACACAAAACTTGGACGAGTTATTCAAGTTTGATGCTGGACAGCCCACAATTACCACTAGTTGTTAACTTGTCGTTTGATTACAATGGCATAAAAACGCGATTCAATATAGTTCAGTTCGCCAACGTTAATGTTGTTATTATTTCTAACATTGAGAAGATTGGACAAATTGTACACGTAAGTTATGCCTTGTCTTCTGATTGAACAATGGTTTTTTTTTGTCTATGTGAGGGAATGTGAAGTATTTTGCCGATGTGCATTGTTAAGAGCAGTCTGAAGATACGAGTTTCTTTCAGGTAATATTTCCTGAGGCAGTCATTACTTCTAGACTTCAGCCGACACATAATATCGATTACGATACAAAAATCCTCTTAGGGCCGCCGTTGGTAATCGTTCTATTACTCTGATTAGTAGTCTGTTGCAGGTAGCAGAATTGCTGCATGTTTTACTTCAACGGATCCATTCTTTGATATGCATATTCTTTCTTTTCTTGAGTAAATTATCAAATCATTTGACCATTTTCTCATTTTGTCTCCGGTTTTCTGTAACTTTGATGTTTTGAATCTGTGCATTAATTTGCTTTTTTCAGGGTGATTTCGATCTTCTCTTAAATCGTTTTGTGAAAATACTGGTTGAACATAATAAACGGTGTAATTTCCTGTTTTCATTGGGTCTAGATCACTTTGACATAGACCATGCTCGGTGCATTGTTGCGAAACTCAGTGAATATTTGTCACATTAAAGTAAGTTAAGAAGGATGCAGTAATAAGATAAAAGAGAAAAGATTGAGATATGTCGAAATAAAAAAAGAGGCAGGAATAATATTTACTATCAATGTAGCATGACTTTCCAAATGTTCTAGTTCAGATTTTTGTCAGTTATTTGGATTCTAAATTCGGAGTAGAGTCAGAAATAATACGATCGAGCTACCCAGGATTCATTATTGCTGTTAGAAAACGTTTTTTCAGATACAATATCGGCAATCTTCTGGAAATGGACGTGTTAAATGTATCTTCTTGCCGAAAACGTCGTTCAAAAAATTCATAAAAGCTCGTGAAAGAGCTAGGGTGGATTCAGAACTGGCATATTTAGCAAAATTCGAAGAATTTTATGAGTGGCAATTGAAGGAACCAACTAGGCAATCACTTCCAATGTTAGCTTACAAACTGTGAATAATTTCAGTGCGTAGCGCAAATATATTGAATTACTACATAAATTACTACATGTTTTAACAATTCTATTTTTCTCCAGTTTGTGTATTGATAATTTATTAGTTACGTTTTAGATTTGAACTTTTGGATGGTCCACCGTATGCAAATGGTGACGCACATGTTGGACATGCTATCAATAAAATCTTTAAAGATTTTGTCGTTCGTAGTCAGGTTTGGAGTGGGAAGCGTGTCTTATTTCGTCCAGGTTGGGATTGTCATGGACTTCCAATTGAATTGAAAGTAGCAAAAGATAATCGGCAAAAGGTTGTCAGCATTATGTTCTTTAATAAAATAGTATGTAAAATCTTTATAATGTCTTGTCTTTTTCTTTTTTCTTATGTCTGAATATTCTGAAATATTTGAAAATTTCTATTTAATACACTGACAGGCTTTACTTCGTGTTTGTTTTGCGAGCTAAGGCATTCAGCATTTAAGGATATCTCGGTCGTTGAAATACGAAAAGCGGCTCGGCAGATAGCGCTACATTCAATTGCGTCCCAACAGAATTCGTTTAAAAAATGGGCGGTTACAGCTGATTGGGAAAATCCTTACTATACAATGGATAAAAAATATGTTGCAAAAGAACTTAGGCTTTTTGGTGAATTGTATAGGCTTAAAATGATTTATCGAACATATATGCCAGTTTATTGGTAAGCTTACACTTCTTTTCGATATGATGCCTTTTACTGAATCCACAATTTTTTTTGAATTTACTTATCACGAAAAATTTTCTTGCTTATTAAAAATTTTCCTGCTTATTAAAATAATTAGAAGCAAGAAACAAGCAAATGTGGCACTCGTAACAGTTCATTTAAGTTAACCTTTGCATCAGTGATGATAAAATACCACTTCTCTAACAGTTTTAATTCCGGAACTTTTGTATTTTCAGGTCACCAAGTTCAATTACAGCTTTAGCTGAATCAGAATTGGATTATAAGGAGCATAGCAGTACAGCCACTTTTTATCGATATACGGTAGTTCTTGGATGTTTTTTAGTAAATTTTAGCTTCAACTATTAATGTTTTTCATAAAAATGGTTTTGTATATTCAAAAATCTAAGGTTACAATTCATACTGATGCTTTCCTAAAAATCTGAATGAAAACGTTTGCAGATTATAAATTCTGGGTTAATCCTTTCCAAATGTAAGAAAGAGAAACGTCCAACAAAACTCTATGCATTAGTTTGGACGACAACTCCATGGACATTGCCAATGAATAACGCAGTTGCGTACAATAAAGATGCAATTTATGCAGTGGTGGAATTGCTTGCCGAAGGGCACTATAGGTGGGTACAAGCTTCAAATTTACATTGGTTTAAGTAGGTCAAGCATTATAGGTGGATACAAGCTTCAAACTTACATTTGGTAAGAGGTCAATTCTCTAGTTGAACATTCAAATAAGTAAATAATTTTATTAGCTGATGATTATTTAGTTACAGCTCACAAATAATATAGATTTGTAAAAATTTTACAGACGTCCAACTCGGCATTTATATATTTTGGCAAGGGATTTAATTGGCAGTTTCGAAAAGGAAACAAAAATTATGACTAGAATATTGTCCACCTTCGCTGGTAGTGAACTGGAAGGACTCATGTATCGAAGTGCAATGTTCACTGATTTAGCACAGCCATTTATAGAGGCAAATCATGTAACAACTGATGTTGGAACAGGTCTTGTACATCTAAGTTATGCACACGGCTTAGATGATTTCAAAGTAAATATTGTTTCCAGTTACTTTTGAATATAATTGTAAGGATTTACAAAATTTTTCTCATCTTTGACATAGATATAGAAGTTTATTTTCGTACAGTAATTCTTCCTGGTTTGTTTAACATCCCTTTTCAGGTAGCATTAAAGCTCGGTGAAAAAGTGCATTGCTTTGTGGATGAACGGGGTTGCTATACAAGGGATCTTGGTCATAATTTAGAGGGGAAATATGTTTTGAGGGAAGGGAACGATGCCGTATTGAAAATGTTCAGGAAGAATGTTGTCTACACGCATCAGTACAATCATCGATATCCGTATGACTGGAGAACAAAACAGGTGTCATATAATTCTATAAAAGACTGTTAATTAGTGAAGATCTCATAGGAAGTTATTAATTGAAATTTCAAGTAAGGTTGTTTTTCAATTAATTATTAATCAAAGTTGTTTGTTGAATTTTCCTGAAAGCTGGTAAAACAATCAATATATTGAAGTTACAAAAGCTTTTATGAAATAAAAAGATTATGTCCCATTGGTAATGTTTGTTGGATGCATAAAATTAGCACATAATTTCAGCCAGTAATTATACGAAGTAGTAAGCAATGGTTCATTGATGTTTCGGAAATTGGTGTTGAAGCAGCTAGAAAAATTGAGAACGAAGCGCCACCTATAGGAAGTCCCCATTCAGGTAGCTTTTTTCGGTGAATACAGCGTCGAATTGAAAATTTCAAATTATTCGTATGTCATTCCCATCTCTTCTGGTGACCGGATTTTTTGGTTCATAATTTTATAAGTTAATACGGTGTGTTTATTTACTAATACAAATGTTTTTTTCGCAAACCTGTTTAGTCGTTCTTTATTTTTTTAATAATCTTAATTGTTTTTAGAATCATATTTCGTAATTATCATTCATGTATGTGTTTATCAAATATCTACTGTTTGGTAAAAATTTAACAATGTGCTATTTTTGTTTAGATAAAGCAGAGGCTCTGTTAACGCAATTAAAAAATCGAATTGCTTGGTGCATTTCACGACAGCGGTGTTGGGGCACGCCGATTCCTGCATTTTATAGAGCAGATGGTAGCGTCCTTGTGGGTAAAGATATCAGCAATGCCGTGGCAAAAACCGTCGAAAAATATGGGACAGACGTTTGGTGGGAGCGTACTGCGAATGATTTATTTCCTGAAAAGGCAATAATTAAAATTTATTGTTTTTATATTATATGTGCTAAGTTTACACTTCTTTATATGTTCATTAATTGAAGATACTGGTTTTTAGAAGTGCTGATAATCATTAGGAAAAGAAAAAAGAAATGGAAACTTTAGTTCCTAATTCATTCAAGCATTGTAGTTAATGAATAAATATGGAATTAGAGCAGAAGAAAAATTGGAAAAGTCATGCGATATACTAGATGTGTGGATGGATAGCGGAGTTGCATGTGCATCGACACGCCAAAGAGCGGAACCTGTTGATCTCGTAGTGGAAGGCGTTGACCAGTTTCGAGGCTGGTTCCAGTCGCTTTCGTTAATTTCATTTGCTTTGAATGTTCGTTATAAATTTGGACAAATCTACTTTAAGAAAATTAGGACATATTATATTATATTTCAGTACCTCAGTCAAATTAACAGGCCCGTGTTACAAAGCCAATAAATGAATACTAAACACTAATAGATATTAAAATGCCAATACTATTAGATTTAGTGAATAAATGATTATTTTATATGCGGCTGTTAGTTTACTCGATTTCTGCGATTTTATCAGATCAGCAAGATTTTACTGATTCGAAATTATAGAATTTTGGGTTTTATAAAGCTTATGTGAACACTTTATCTCTTTGTCTTTTTTATTGGTCACTACATTTATTTCAGAATAAATTGCCATACAAATGCATCTATGTCCATGCTTTTGCAGTGGATGAAAACGAACAAAAGATGTCCAAATCAGTGGGAAATGTGGTCAGCCCTGAGCTGGTTTGCTTTAATTATGAAAAAGAAATCTGTAAATAAATATGTAAAATAGGAGAACGAGCTCATTTTTTAATAGCTTTGTATTCCTACAGCTTACTCTATGTGATGCACAATGGGAATTTATTAAATACTGGTTGTGTAATGCAGTTTTGTCAGTTTTTCATAATGCAGTTCAATGTTTATAAAAAATATCTTCACTTTTAATTCTTTAATTACACCTTGTTATCGAAGAGTCTAGAAATGAAAATTTGGTTAAAAATTATTAAAATAATTAATTATGATTTGAACTGGAAGTTCTGATATTTGTTTGACTTCCTGAGCAGATTACAGATGGTTCACTGAATTCAGAACCTCATGGCGTTGATGGTCTTCGTCTTTGGGTAGCTCAGTATGGATGTGAAGGTGATAAAGCACGAATTGGCTCTTCGGTCATGGAAGAAGTTAGACGAAATTATGCACAGTTGCGCGCTTCATTCTGGTTTCTGCTTGGCGCAGTCAATGGTTATAACGGAGCCGTTTGCTGTGGTGAAAAATTTTATATGGATAGGGTGAGTGTATACCTAACTGTCAGCAGGAATATGTAATGATATAGACAGATTTAACTGTAATTAAACTAAACAACTCGCAAATCAGAAGAGGGAAATTTATGCTTGTATTATTTCCTCACTCTTATTCCTTATTATCATCCAGAACATTGAATTTATTTAATCCATTTTCAGAGGACTAATTTGTTCTTGATGTATTTAAATTATTTATCGCTGTTTAACAGTGTCAATAATTAACTTACCATGTTTTTCAGTTATTTGAATCAATAAATTGCAAAAAATTTTTAGTATATTTTGCAAGAATTAGCAAAATTTACACAGCAATGTCTCAGAAACTGGAACGAATATCGTTTTTCATTAATGGTTAACGAATATATGCAGTTTCTGCAACATCCGCTTAATTCACCTTACATTGTAAGCAATGTTTTTGTTTAATTCTTCTAAAGAAAGTTAAAATAGTTTACTATTATATTTTTTTTTTTATTTGATTACAACATCAAAACAATCAAGTCTAGTTAAACTGTGAGATAACATTGTTTTAGCATCCACTGCAAGAGACATCCTCATTGTAAATTACATAAGGGGAATGAATTTCTTGAATGATAGAGGTATTAATATTGATTGAATGATTTCTTTGGTTTCGTGAAAAGGTTAAATTGTCAGTGAATCCCCTTTCATATTTAATGTAGCTTGTTGTTCTTTATCAACTTTTAAATTAATAAGAATTTATTTTATTTTCAAATATTGAATTTTAGAGTGGTGTGAAAAATAGGCTATACTGTGGAATGTTTTCCGAGAGACAAATTGCCCAGGCAACATTGGCAAAAGTTGGGTTAAACTTAGCAGCACTTCTTGCTCCTATATTGCCTCATTTGGTGGTGGAGTTTTTCATGCATCATCCATGCGTTGAAGATTCTGCTGTTGCTCTCAGGTAAAAAAGTCATTTGAAATGCAATCTTTTATCTAGCGTTTTCTTTTGGAATTTTGTAGTTTCGAATTGAAAAAAAATTTTGATTAAACTAGAACTTTACTCTTCTCAAAATATCGTTTTCATTTTCAGAGAATGCAGTCAATTTTATTGCTCAGACGACTCAAATATGACTGAGTTGTATTCTGTTATGAATTCTGCTCTCGGCATTCGAGCTAAAATGTTTAAACAATATGGACAAAATGATCTCTCTAGATTGGTATAATCTATTTAGAGTTTATAAGCCTTTACTAATCTATAAATCAACTAGCGAATAGAATGTTGCATATTTAAAGAGATATAAAGGCACATTATAGAAGAAACAAGGTAAGAAGGAATAAACTTTCTGCATTACTGTTTTAGTTTCAGTAATTCTGCTTGCTTTTAGGGAGTTTTGATAAGGGGTCCCGATATTAGTCTCCAGAAACTATATCCGCTACAAGTAGAATCATATTCGTATCATTCGCAGCTTGTGGAAATCCTTGGCGTTTCTATGGTTCGAATAGAATGTGATAATTCCAGTGAAGAAATCATAATTGATTTGGTGACTTGCGAACGAGAGTTTTGTAAGCGCTGCAGAAGGAACGTCAGGCTTAAGGAGGAAGATTATTGCGATCGATGCTCAAAATCGATAGCCGAAAATGAAATGTTACAGGAAAGAAATACCGGGAATAACTATTCAAAATCGCCACTATCTTGAGGCTGTGAAAGTGATCGTTTAGTGCGACATGCAATCAATTTGGAAAATATAAGATCTTATTAATACCATATTTCATAAAAATACATCAAAAACTTTCAAGTATCATTGAATTGAATTTAAAAAAATGGTTTTTGGGGTTTTACTTATTGTGCTTTCTCTCGCTTATGGCAATATCTAGTATTTATGATTTGATAACTATAAATAGAGGACCAGGAGCAGAAGTGTTTGCAAAAGATAGATGGGTGATGAATTTGAAATGTCTCTGGACTTATGAAAAGCCTCGTATTGATCTTGAACTCACCAAAGTGCTATCGAATTCAGTGATGTACTCCTATGAAATTTAATTATTCGCTTTCTCCGTGCAAATATTTCATTCCTCGAGTAGTCTTTGTTATCGACTTTAAGAATCTGGTAATTCACTTACAGAATAAGAAGTAATTTCTCTTCCTCACTTTCTTTAATTCATTAGGTGAATTTCAATTTTGTCTCGAAGATGTTTATGACTTTCTGTTATTGTTTTAATTACCTTTATCACCTGTTAGTGGTTTCTTTTTTAATCGAGTGTTAAATAAAAATGAATAAGAAATTGGATTGAAGTGACAGTTTCTTGATAGTATGTTTTGCCTAAAAAGCGCTTATATCATTGTTATTAAAATTTCAAGATTTGCAGTTCCGAGAATCCAGTTGGAAAAGTGTTCTTAATTAATTAGAATATTTCGGAAAAAAAGTAAAACCAGGACTAATATAATAGTAAGGAAGTGTGTGCGATGTAATGGAGGGATGATGCGCAAACTTTATTGCGTTGTTTGCACAAGTAGGATGTATTTATAGCTATTTTGGAGGAGAAATTGTTGGACTTTGGAAAATTCAAATATCGTGAAAATCAATTCCGTTTTTTATCGTGGTGATGGAGCAGGGCAATGATGATGCGAAATGCTAGCAGTCAGTCGTCGCATGTTATTCCTGATGCAATCCGTGTTGCAATGCGTGCTGTAGATGGTTCTACAGCAGCAGCAAGCGCTACGTACGTTGAAACTATGCTGGCCGATGAACATGAAAGCGTTTTTATGGAGGTTTGTAATTTATATTGCTATTTTTGCCGAATAATTTTGAGTGCTTTACAAGAACAGCTTTGTGTTACAACGCGTGCTGTAGATACTTCCACGATTGCAACAAGCGGTGCATTGAAGGCTAGATATAAGAATTGCAGCATTTTCTTGTTTAATTTTAATTTTATCTGTCTTCTCATCTAATTTTAATTAGGTGCTTTCATCTAATTTGATTTTTGCAATAAATTTACTAAGTTATAAATTGGAGTTTTCGATTTTATTTTTTGCATCCCATACCATTAATCTGTTCAATAAAGTTTGAGGGAAACGATATCTATTCGAATATATATAGGACATGTAATAAATGAACTACTTTAGCATCAACTCGTAACAGCATTTGCATCAATCATAAAACAAACGACTATGTATAGTGAAACATTAGAAATAATTCAGAATATGTAAAATGTAGATATATATTAGTTGTTTAATGAGTAGGTGAGAGATTTCGGAAGAAAAGCTGGAAGTCCTGAATAAGAATGGGAAGCTCTCATTACTGTCATTCAGTTAGCTGAAAGAGAACAATTTACAGATACCTATGGATAAAAGCAGTGAAATGGAAATGGGGATAGAACATGAGGATCATATTCCACATCATCATGAAAGTCGACAAACAATTGGCAAGATAAATGATGAACTAAGATACTCAATCATTGATGCTGTTTATCTTCGGCCTGCAATTTGGGATCACGGTCGAGAACTGAGGAATTTGGGCCAGCGAAAAGATCATTTTATCGAAATTGCTGCGCTTCTTAGCACCGACGAAAATTTGCTTTCCTGTAAGCATCTTTAACATACGTGTTTTTCATTTTTCAAAAGTGCATTCTCTTTTTTTATTCATATAAAATAAATGAATTCGTAGTTTATTGGGTCTGCAAACTTGTAGACAACAGCGAAAGAAGAAGGAGTAGATGGCTTCGTATTAAACAACTTTAAAATGACTGGAATAATTTACAATATTCATTATGGAAAGAAGAAATTAAAAAGGAAATTTAGAAAGGAATGGAGATCATGTGTAGAAAATTGCAGCTACTGTTTATGAAATAGAATTCATGATAGTTTCTCTCGGCGTGGAACTCCCTTAAAACATATTTTCGATGTAATCATTATATGACAATGATTTGTTTGATTGACCGGATTGATTTGTTTGATTGCATATAATGTCCAACCTGTGTTTCTCTATTTAGGCCACGATATCGAAAAACAGTGGAAAAATTTGAAAGACTCGTATTTTAAACTACGGAAGAAGGTAAAAATAGATGCTTCTGGAAAATTGGTACAACCACGATGGAAATATTTTTCGGCCATGATGTTTCTTGATCGGCTCAGCAATAGCAACGCTTCCTTTTCCGGAGCAAATACTTCAGTGTGTGACGAAATAAATGATGCACCATTTGTTCATCAACAGTCCTTTCTTGGGAAGGGAAATGCAGATAGAAACTTGACACCTGTTACTTCCGGGAGACACTTTATTGATGGGCGATGCAAGATAAGAAAGACTATGATTTCAACTTCGAACACTGTTGACGGGGAGTCAACGGAATCTACAGTGCTCGCTACGGAAGATGAATATTCTGCATTTTGTAAGTTGTGTCAGACAGCTTTCCTTACTTGTTTATAATTGAAACTTCCGAATTACACTGTTTAAGAAAATTATAAATTTGCTTTACAAATTTCCCTATATTTTAACTATTAGATCTTTAAATTACCTGGAAATGTCTGTGAAAATCGAACATCACTTCTTAAAATGTGCCATCCTTCTTAAGATGCAAATTATTTCATAGACGTGTATCTTCGAAATCTTCGCCTTTTTTTACAGTTTATTAATTACTAAGGCGAAGTCATTGCTTAATCATTAATTGCTAATATGAAATACAAATACTAAGCTACCAGAAAATATTAAAGGAAACAAAAAGGAAGGAGACTCATGATGAATTACTGTTACGTTGACTAACCATTAAATTTAGTTTAGTCATTCTTCAGGTAATTCATTGATCTATCCGTTGCGTGAGATAGGCAGCATGAATCGACTGGAGTATATAAAATTGCAAAAAGTAATCCGTGATGCAATACACGAAAAGCAGATGGAATTATTAGAAAATGAATCAACAAGGCCATAAAACTCAACATTTCTAATTTTCATAAAAGAAGTGCCATAAAGGGTAGAATCAAATGGCTTTTTTCCTTTATCGATCCTTCAGGCCTCATACTAGTTATGATTTTTAATGTATGTATATATATATTTTACTTTGTTCATTTTGCACCAAATAAAGAATACAAACTTGTAAGGAATAATAAAATGAAAGAAAAAACAGTAAATGTGAGGTCATCCAAATTTCTTAGCTCAGTATATGTGCACACAGAAAGGTTTTTTCTGTGTGCACATATACTGAGCTAAGAAATTTGGATTAGTGATCAAACGGTATTTTTGACAGAATAAACTAGAGGTACATGTGAAATATTCTTGACTTAGCGATAAAGACTGCTTGTACAAATGTTTCATTTCATATGTCACATTCTTGTCACCTAATGAACATGTCTATATCTGGCGATAGACTACTACTAATATTATGATAATTAGGGCTAGTATTTCTTTTGTTCTACCCTGATTATTATGACAGTCTACTGATTTCTATTGATTTCCCTATCATTGAGATCCTGTGTTGAATGCATTCTTACTCTTCTGTCCTTCTTCACATGACGTGGGAGATTTCTCGTTAGTTCGCTATATACGGAGAATCTCAGTCGGTGGACATACCATCGAATTATTAGTGGAAAAGAGGTGAATTGGCAGCGCTTTAAGGAATTGTAAATTAAGAGGAATGATCAGTGTAGATGCAAGAGAAATGGTCCAAGGTTTTCATTGTGCGGATCGGGGAAGTAAGAAGGGTCTGTCCGAGAATTTTATTCGAACTAAAAAAACATTGTGTCGTATCATGAGACTGGCTAGATCTTTGATTTGATCAATTGCTGTAATGTTTCCCATGGGTTGACTGAAAGGATACTGACACTGTAGAAATTCCTTAATATTAGGTGGACCGACTTCAATGAATGATTGGATAGTATGGTGATAGCTAGCTGTTAAGCGCTTACGTAACTATGAACTGAAATTAAGGAAAGAAGAATCCCTTTATTGATTTAACATCCGTAGATTTGGTAAAACGCATCGTTCCCATGTTAATATTTTGATTGGTTATCATAAATTCTCCTTGCATGATAATCATTGGATTGGTTATGATAAATTCTCCATTCATGATAACCTTTGGAGATATTTCCTAAATTCGTTAAAATTTGTTCCCATTATCTATTTAACGTTAAAATTACTCTCCATGTAATGTATAGCAGTCCTTTAAGTAACAGTTCCGGAACATTCATCGCATCCATAGATCACTATTTCTTTCTATTTTCATATCTTTCGACCTCTAACTGCACCGGTTTCTATGTTTTAGCGGAAAGAGAAAAAGCTAATCGCACGTTAATTACATAGATTGCAATTGATTAAAAGATGCCCAATAGTGCTTTGAGATTATCATCATCCATCTCAACAGCATCAGATTTGCGACCTTTACAATATTAGAATACAATTTTTATTTTTTTTTAAGAATACAATTTGCGGCGGTGGCAACACCTTCGATATCTCATTTTTCCAATTATGGATTAATAATATATCGCATATGTGATCCGAATTAGATGTGACTTGGATTAGACATGAATTGAATCAAAATAAAACTGAATTGCTGCCAATTTACTTATATATGCGGAAGTTTTATTGCTGTCATAAAGGAATAGAATTAAGTGAGGCGTGAAAAAATAATTCAGTAATGCCACGAACGTACGATGAGGAATGCAGCTATATTGAACGTGTCACAGATGTTATGTACAGAATCAAAAAAGGATTCGTTCCAAATATGAACGTGAGTTGATGAGCTTATGTACATTCTTCAGCTCAGGATGTTGATATGCTCTTGTATATTTTTTAAATCGTTTACCACTAAGCAAGAAATCTATTAATCCCAATTTCACATTTCTTGAAAATTATTTTGATTTTTCAATTCAGAATTGTTTTATTATGAAATCTTAGTTCAGAATCAGCAAAATTACGAATTATAAGTTTAGCAATTTTTTACAGGTTGAGGGACGTTTTTACGTCAATAAAGCTTTAGAAAAATTGATGTTTGAAGAATTGAGGAATGCATGTAAGTCGGATGGTATCGGCGGATTTTTACCTGCAGTACGCCAAGTTGGAAATGTTGCAGCACTACCAGCTATTGTTAATGTAAGCGAAAATATGAATAGTTTTATGTTTACTGTCTTCTGAATTCGTTTCTACAATGAAGTTTTAATATCATTATTGAATAAAGTTTATCAGTCATCGTATTTCAGGCTTCCATTGGCTTGCCGGATATACATTCCGGTTATGGCTTTGCTATAGGGAATATTGCTGCATTCGATGTTTCTAATCCGGAAGCTGTCGTATCGCCAGGTTTTTTTTGCAAGTTTTTTTTCAAGCTGCTTAATCGATGTTTAAATTATGAATTCTGAATTTTGTTCTTGTGCTATGAATTAGGTTTTCTGGTTTACCTTACATTTATCATTTAGATTTCGACATCATCACTATTAGCGTTTCCCACCACTTTTTGTTTCTCCCTGTGCTTTTCTTTTTCTGTCATAATGATCCGTTGTAAGCTAAAAGATGCGTGGAACAACTCCCCACGTTCTTTTATCTTGCAGTTCTAAATAAAGTGCGTTGAATCATACTTCTTGCTTTGATTTGTGGTGTTTGAGCATTCTCTTTTATGCGCACTCAAGTTATTCAATCAGATCTAATTTCGTTAAGCACTTTCTATTTACTTTGTCTGATATTAGTTTCCATCAAGCTGCGAGAGATTTCGGAAAAGACGAACAACAAAGAAATTATGTATTAATCAAAAATTCAGTGAAATGTAAATTGACTGAATAGCGTTATGATTTTATCAGGTGGCGTTGGTTTTGATATTAATTGTGGTGTCCGTTTAATTCGAACAAACTTATCTGAAAAGGATGTTCAGCCAGTAAAAGAACAGCTTGCCCAATCGTTATTTGATCACATTCCTGTAGGTGTTGGCTCAAAGGGTATAATTCCGATAGGAGCTCAGCAGTTCGAGGTATGTTGAAATGCAAATGCTTTTTTGAAAAAGTACTTCCGTTTGATTTTGCTTTTTTATCTCAGAAAATTTTCAATTTAGGAATGTCTTGAAATGGGTATGGATTGGACTCTGCGCGAAGGTTATTCGTGGGCAGAAGATAAAGAACACTGTGAAGAATACGGGCGGATGCTTCAAGCTGATGTGACCAAAGTTTCTCCACGTGCGAAAAAGAGAGGACTTCCACAGGTTTACTATATATGCATCCAGTGAAATTATTTGTTTTTTCTTGATTTTAAAAATTTGAGAAATTTTTTATTCAGGTTTTTAGATGTAAAAAATAGTGTTTGAGTAATTTCACTTTATAGCTAGGAACTCTGGGAGCTGGAAACCATTACGGTGAAGTACAAGTTGTTGATGAAATATATGATGAATATGCGGCTAGTAGAATGGGCATCGATAGATTGGGTAGATTTTTATTCTTTTCTGTATTCGCATTTGCAAATTATCGACAAACAAAGGAAAAATGAACTGTCAATGTATACTGAGGATAATAATTTGAAGCACAATATGTTATGATGTACGTTTATTCCACAAATTCCCGGATGATTTTTTTTACATGGTTACAATTTAGGTCAGGTTTGTGTAATGATCCATTGTGGTAGTCGTGGTTTGGGACACCAAGTTGCTACAGATTCACTGGTTGTTATGGAAAAAGCTATGAAACGAGACAACATAATTGTCAATGACCGTCAACTGGCTTGTGCAAGGATTAACTCCGTAGAAGGTAAGGGTTTTTTTGCTGAGCTAGTCATTTGTATCCATTATTTTATAAGTTTATTGTGAATTCGATCATTTAGTCACTGCCTTTCTTTAATTTTTTAGGTCAAGATTACCTCAAAGGCATGGCGGCGGCTGCGAATTTTGCCTGGGTGAATCGATCTTGCATGACTTTTTGTGCAAGACAGGTAGAATTTTTCTCATATTGAGAATTATACTTAATTGTCTTTCAGGGTATTTAAATAGCCCTAATTTGTAACAATAATAAATGCATACGGAGAAAAAATTAATGAAAAATTGTGAAATTTCACTGCAGGCATTTGCAAAAGTGTTCAACTCTTCACCAGATGACCTCGACATGCATGTTATATATGATGTTAGCCATAATATCGCTAAAATAGAAGAACATCTTATGGATGGGAGACCAAAACAGCTGTGCGTACATAGGAAAGGTTCAACGCGTGCTTTCCCTCCTCATCATCCTCTCATCCCTGTAGATTATCAACTTACAGGTCTTTCTTCTCAAGTTTTCTTTGGTGATTTTATGTTGAAAATAAACATTGGCATTCATTAATACGAGTGAAGAAATTACCCCAGCTTAGCAACGGCGGAAAAATGATTCTATACTTTTTTTCTGTCAAGATCGAATAATTTCACTTTGAGCTGGAATGACAATTGTTTCCAATGGAGACTTAAAACTTCTGTAGAACTTCTAACAAATACAAATTGATTAGAAATTCGATGCCTGTTTTGATACGCAGTACTTTAAATTTAGGCGAGTGCATTTTATTGATGGAAAAATTTCCCACAGCTGTCATAATTTTGCAAAAGAGAATGTTTAATTTCAAGCCTTTTCAGTAAATTTAAACAAATAATATTTATAGAGCAGCCACAGTTCTCTAATTACTCAAAAATTATGTTTTTTTTTTTTAAGGACAACCAGTACTAATTGGTGGTACAATGGGTACCTGCAGTTACGTTTTGACAGGCACACAACGAGGAATGAATGAAACATTTGCTACTACTTGTCATGGAGCGGTAATATTTCTTTTTCTGAAGAATAAAGTAAGATGCTGCAGTTCTGACGTGAATATAGAAAAATAATATCTTTTTCGTTTTGTTCTTTAATTTATTGTTGTAACCAAAAAATATATTACTTTGCATCTTTATTTATTAAAGAGTTTTGAATTTCTGCAGAGTGAATACAGTTTCAGGGT